TAATTGGTAACTTCCATTATGGGGTTTCCAATAATTCAATCCCTTCTTATTCAATCCGATGCTCTCGGGTCAAACACCTATTCGGGGAACCGAAATGTTTTGGAATTTGAGTGACGCATACAGTACTTATTTTAGCCCCCCTCCTACTTTAGAACGAATCAGATAGTTTTTTCAATATAAGCACAACCCACATTACCCTAAAGCCACTTAAAGGTTTAGTTGTTGAAATGTTTAAAGGAGAGTGATCGGGAAGTAGAACGGCGTGGTGTGGGTAACGGGATGCATCGAAGTCACTGTCGTGGACAGGGCATATCTGAACAAGGAAAAGGCTACCTACCTACCTCGGCTATTGTGGGGTGGTCCGCCTGGCCGACCCTAATTAATTTCGCTTGACTGCGCTCAACTAAAACAACTACTATACCCAATACCAAAAAGTAAGTTATCTATACAAAATATTAACATTCATTATCGTATTTAATTTTGTTTTTTCATCTCGATTATTTTGTTACTAAATTTTATGTACTGTAATGAATAATAATATAGTTTAACCATATCCTGTTGTTGTAATATTTTGCTAAATCTATTATGTTGAAACACGGTGTTGAAAAAAATTCAATAAATCGCAAATAAATCATTGCATTAGAGATTACAGCATATTGATTTTTAAAACTGTGTGAAACCCCCTCCTTTGCACATAATAGCCCTTGGCAATTCCCTTAGAGTATTTTAAGACAAAGACAAATAAAATAACTGAAATAAAAATGAATTACGTATCATTGATTTCAGATAAGTCCTAAAACAATTATAATGAATTATTGTTGATTCTGCATCGTGCTTCAGGTACGTCCGATCTAATCAATAGCTCATTTTAGAATTAGCAGATTTTAGAACACAAAAATCAACGACGTACAACTTAGTGATTGATGATATTCTTTAGTTTAATTTAAGCATAGGTTTAGCCAAGTTTAGCAAAACACAGTAACTAAATATACAACCTTAATATACATATTTAAAAAACAATGTGACGTGCAAGTTATGTTAAGTTAATCTAACACATGTTAAGCAGTTCGAATTTATTTTAAGTAGCCTCCAAATTCATACAAAACATCTATACATACAATCGTCTAAACATCCTACGTTTATTCGAACGAGTTAGCAAACCAACATGATCGGATCATTTTATTATATCAAATTTTATTAAAAACACACTTTATAACCCTCCCTGTAGGCAGCAAAACCTAGATATTCGTTAAACCTAATTATATTTTAATAGATTTAATTGAAAATCACATCAGGCAAATAGAAATTCGCTTAGTCTGCAGGTCTGCTGTAGCGGGGGCATATTAATTTGTTTGTTTGATATATTAACGGACATCTCCAATTTTATAACTTATGGTTCAGCTTTTACAAATACAATACTGTAATAAATTATACTAGCGAGCTTATTTAGGCCTACAATGGTTTTTAATGACTCGAGACCACAGGGTAGTGAACAGAATGTTGTGCAATTTGCACCAATACGTGAGCATGGTAAGAAGTTATTATGGAAAATCTGTGAAGGAATTAGTTCAAAATCGCACAAAAACTGTGTTACCTTCTAATACCCAATAGTGCATGCGATGGGCCGTTGTCGCGTTTAACATTATCTATCTTCCAAATTCAATAACAATCATAGCATGTTAAAATCAAGCCACGACTTAAACACAGTACAAAAGGGGAAAATGCAAATGATGATTACTGATCAAATAATACAGAGAAAGTCTTAAGTTGACATTTAAATCACAATTTGGAAACGACCACTGATTAAATGGGTACAGTATTTTACGGATTTGAATAACGTCGTTTTTGTGTGAGCTAGCTTCCTATGGAATAAGACATATTCAAATTGAATATCACATGGCCAATATAATCGAGTTTTGGCAATGAACAACTCTAAGATTTCGGGCGACTATTTTAATAATTCTAATAATTTATTCTAATCTTTTTAAGCGGAAATATATGTGTAAGGCATGGTATGTGTCAAGACTGATTAAAAATATATTGCTAATACAGTGGTAATTACGTGCCATCGGCTGGACCGGGGACGTTGCCGCAGGGAATTACGTGTGGAGGTTAAGCCGTCGGCTGGACGGGGGGGGGGGGGGGGGGGGTTGCTACAGAGAATTACGTTTGAGGGTAAGCCTTCGGCTGGACCGGGACCGGGGGGGAGTTGCCACAACGACTCTCTCCCACTCCACTCAGATAGAGAGAGGGGTGGTCGGCTGTGACGTCACAGTTCGGAAGTCTGTGTCGTCGGGAGTCTGCGTCGTCGGGAGCCCGTGGCGCGTTCCCCTCCACTAGCTGCGTCACATGTTGCTCACGGCTAATAGGGGCCTAACAGCATGAAAAGGCCTTCATAGTTATTGCTGGCATGAGCTCTAAAGATTTTTTAGATCCAGTTAAGAAAGTTGGAACTTTTCAACCCTTGCTCTTCCTATTTTACACGAGGTAAAAAACAACATTTATTTATTTGAAAACTGTAATAATAATCATAACTATAATACTAATAATAAACTACCTTTTTTGAGAATCCAAGCTACAGATCCGCTTTAATTCACAGTGGGCTCTAATATCAAAGCATAGCCTGCATGTCTACAACAAATTATCTATCTCGCAAATATGTCTTAGAGAGTAAACAATGAATAAACCCTCCCAGAAAAATTTATGAAGATTTGACCATATGATTGAAATCCATTTATCTTCTTACTTAACTGTAATATCTTACTTATATTATTGTATACAGGGTGATCAACTCAAGCAGGCCACCATTGGGATATCGGAAACGGTAAGTATTAGAGAAAACTTTAAATGGGGGACATTCCTTTATTTTTTGTGGCAGTTTAAAATATGATTTCATTTTTTTGAAAATCAGCCGCCATTTTCCAAAATGGCGGCCACCTTTGAAATTTCTTATGGAACACCCTATATTTTATCATGTTTTCTGATAGAACAGGCAATTTAAAAACTTTTTTACGGTGTGAGACCATAAAACACACAGTTTTCCACTTTTCAATTTTGCCGCCATTTTGGAAAATGGCTGCCATTTTTGAAATAATAGAATTAATAGTTTTAACAAATTTTATGGCCTTTTTGGAATGTGGATGCAATTTTAAGACTTATTTGACTTATTTACTTTTCGCATTTTCGCTATAAACCTACTGTACTTGTTTAGGAGCTACATGATTTAAATGTACACCGGAAGTCATTTTTCCATAGGCTGTAACTCCTAAACGAGTGGATTTATCAAAAAAATGTCAAGAATAAAAAAGTTTTTAAATTGCCTGTTTTATCAGAAAACATGATAAAATATAGGGTGTTCCATAAGAAATTTCAAAGTTGGCCGCCATTTTGGAAAATGGCGGCTGAATTTCGAAAAAATGAAATCATATTTTAAACTGCCACAAAAAATAAAGGAATGTCCCCCATTTTAAGTTTTCTCTAATTCTTACCGTTTCCGATATCCCAATGGTGGCCTCCTTGAGTTGATCACCCTGTATATTTCATTATATGAATACATTTTAGCAAATTTTCCATATAGGGAATAAGCTATTACCGTAGTACTAATGGTAAGACCTGGACCCGGGACCGATTAATTTTTTTGTTTTGGGGTAGGCCAAAAACACCATCCATTCAAATTCATATATATATATATATATATAAATATATATATAGTCCGTTAGCACGATAACTCGAGCAAAAATGATCCGATTTTGATGAAATTTAGTACAAACGTGTAAACCTACATTTATTCGAACGAGTTCGCGAACCAGCATGATCGGACTATGGGAACGGGGGTTTATGGGGGGTTTTATGGGGTAAAAATAGGTTTTCCCATTTTTTAACCTAAAAACACAAAATTTTACAATTTCTTTCCTAACCATTTTGTAGAGCATAAAAGAAACAAATAATTTAGTATGTTGAAGCGTTATTGTGCGCCTAATGGTTACGGAGAAAATTAAAAAAAAACTGTAAATTTAAAATTCCCATGTTATTTTTATGGAGAACTAGCTGTACCCGCGGGCTGTGCCCCGTTTGACTTCATAAGTATTCGCATGGCTCAATCACGTCCTGGTTGAAGTTTGTTCGCTACGCTCACTCACCTTTAGGTTAGCTCGTTCACTACGCTAACTCGCCTCCAGGTTGATGTTCGTTCGCTACGCTCGCTCACCTTTTGGTTGCAAATTAGCTGTTGTCATAAATAATAAAAAAATAGTGATGCACCCTGTTGGTAATCCTTTTAACTTCAAGTGCACAGGTGTGCTGCGATTGGGGTTTAATACATTTGGACTTATTCAAAAGTAAAATAGTTTTCTGTGCTGCACTCTGTAGAAACACTGTGGACTATTTCAAATCATGACTAATGCTAATACAGAATGTTGTGATTATTCAAACCTACAAAACAGTTGGTGAAAGTAAACATCTGCTTTTAAATTTATTTGTAAACATTGTAGATCAAAAAGTCTGACATTGGCCCACTTAAAACCCTCTGGGGCAGAGCCCTTTTGACGGATCTGCACCAAACTTCACTCGAACCATCCTTGAAAGAGGCTTAATATTGCCTGAAAGTTTCAATACAATCTGTCAAACGATTTCGGAGTCCATAACGTATATACACACATACATGGTTCCTCTTTTATAGATATAGATAAGTCAACTGTTGTAGTTTGCTTGTTTATGAACATATTTTGATTGAATTTGGAAAATACATTAATTTCTTACTAAACTATTAACATAAAAAAACCACCTTTTTACCCTCCCTGTTGCAGCAAACTTAAGTACTCGTTAAACTAATTCTATTTAAATAGGGAATAAATATGATATTTTTAAGGAGGCATTTTAGTGTAAATCCTATCAGGCTAATGGAAATTCGCTTAGTCTGCAGGTTTGCTTCGGCAGGGGTATTTTTATAATGCAGGATCTGTATTGACATGTCACATACGTTCCTTCCTGATCCTACATACCAGCTTTAAGTGGACGAGGAACTCCTCCGACAAAGACAGTTTTCCGTGGGTCAAGAGGCATGGATGCGTCTAGCACAAAGTCTGCATCTGAGAGTCGCCATGGTCGGATCTGTACAGGCTTGTCCTTGATGGTTGGTGAAGAGACACACAAGTACAGCTTGTCTTCATCTTGGATACAGGCGTCAATAAGCTGCTGAACTGAGCTTTCATCCTGAACACATCAGATGAACATTATATGTTGGTTTGGTAAGTACAAAGTCATCTGTTATACAGCACAATTCTTCAATGTGAGCTTCAGCAATGAGTGGAGCAAGTTGAATATTTGTTTCTAACTAAATCCCCCAACTTAATACCCTATATTATTTAGGCCTACTTTAGTTTTTATAAATTTACGTAAGAGCATTCCATTTTAAAATTTTAATTTTAAACATTATGTTTATTTTATGCAACAAAATGTTTTATGTGCTTCATGAGATGGTAGATTTAAGCATGATGTCATATTTGTGTCCCGACTCCTGATGTTGTCTATTGTAAATTTATGTTGATGAATGACAATGAAAGATTAGCCTATTATTATTATTACTAGGGGAAACCCGTCGAAATCGACGGTTACTTTCAAGGCTTACGTTAATTCATCTAACTGGGATAAATTGGGCGAAATATACATATTTTGAGCATTTAGCATTGTTTAAAGAGTAATAAGTGTAAAAACAATAATGATTAATTGCGTTAGTTGCCAAATTTGGTTGATCATTCAATGAATAAAATATTCCCCATACCGTACGTCATCGGAGTTATTATTAGTGTGTTATATGGTATACATTCCTTTGGAAGAACGTTTAAATAGTATTAAAATCGTATTGATGGATCTTTTGTAGTTAAACACTTTGGTGATTTCATCAGTGTAATATGATTTTATTTTAAAAGAAAATATTTTTTTGGGAAGACATATTCTAACTACAAAGGGAGGTATTATATCCGTTACAGCGCAAGTTTATTTTTTCCTTCGTCACGTCGCGTCAGTTGTGCCAATGAATGAACCCTCTAGCATAGTTTTGAGAAATTATTGATTTTGGGGTTACTGTTAAAGCTGGAATTCCTTGACATGGGGGATGTCAGTTAGATGTCTCAGCCTTATCAATAACATAAAGTTGTCAATATAATCTCTCTACGGAATGTTAGGTGTAGTAGAATACTTGAAGTGAAGTTGGCTTTTATTCTTGTACTGTTAGGGGCCTCCTCGTTTATATGGTCGTGTGGCTTCATAGGCAACAAATAATGCAAATGACATAGCAATGGGACATTTCCAAAAAGCAACAATACCGTAAATTGGCTGTTACGTATATATTGACGTTTACATATTGTTAATCAACGTATCTCATAAAGGATTATGTGATCTAGTTTAAAAGGATTATGACCTTTCTGTCATGACAGTAGCTGCTTAAATAGTATTTTCTCTTTGTACCATCTTTTACAGCCAAATTGTCGTGTTATTTTCAATAATGTTACCAAACCAGTGCGCCAAAGTCCGTAATATAGGCAGGTGCAAATAATTTGTCAAGATGGGTACCATTTTAGACAAAGTTTCTGTTTGGATTTTATTAGACACGATAAGAGCAGATATTTCTACATGAATATTTGATGTGTGTAGAATAATATGATAAAATGTAGGCAAAAGTGGTGAAAAAGGCAGACACCAACCCGTACAATAGATATAAGAATAGTTCAATAAGAAATAATTTAAGAATTGCTGTGATAAAAGGATTTTCCACTGATTTCGTAATGGAACGTTATATTGCAAAACATGACATGATAAAGAAGAAAATCAGTTTTAAAATCAGAAAATAACATTGCAAATACTTATTTGGTAGAATTCAGTAACTCCCAATAAATGTGTGTTGTTTGAAATACAATTTAAAAATGAACAGCTGTTTCAATAAAAAGTATTATTCACATGGCCAAAATGTAAACAACTCTGTGGAGGGATCTTTAAAGGCTTCTGGGGCAGAGTCCTAAGGGATTTTGATTAGTTTTTCTTTTGATAACTCATCTACAGACCAAGATCTTTCTTTGGAGACCCCTACCAAGTTTCTACACCCAGCCGTTCTCTCAAATTAGTGGGGACAAAGTTTCCAATTAAATTGTTAGATTCCCCCATGTTAATCTTATGGGAGAAACTCCAACTTTGATGGCCTGTGGGGCAAAGCCCGAGGATTTTTATTACAGGAATTGGTGAAAGGGGGCGTCTACACAAAAAATTCTTTATTTTGACACGTCATTTGTAAAAATCCGTCCATTATTAACGGAGGAGTAGTGTTTCGTAGAAATCGCCTTCACGTATTATATATAAGGATTCTACAAAAATATCTACCTAACTTTGATTGTAATACAATTACATGTTTCTCTCCTTCATTAGCCCTATAAGCTTTTATTGTTAGGAATCACTTGTATAAGTAGCATAGGCGGATCTAGGCCCCAAAATGTGGGGGGGCTAAGCCGGGCTGCCTGGAATACCCCTCACTGTGGAGTGGGGCCGGGTGTCCTCCCCCGAAAATTTTTGAAAAAATATAAGTCTTAAGACATTTTAGGCTATTTGGAAATCAAAAAAAAGGAATTACGGATTCAGTGAACATACTTGAAGGACCTTGTAATCGGCTAGTTTACGAATTCCATGTAAGAACTTCACCCTTAAACATTATGGAAAATAGCTGGCATAGGGTAAAAGAAAGGAACAGACTGATCCAAACCCTAAATGTGTGTGTACTGTGTACCTAGGATCCTAAATGAATTGCTGGTTTGTAGCATATAACTCAGGTCTTCTCACAGACGAAGTCAAGAGCTTGAATTTGTCTATTGAGAGCTCCAACACCTTTTTGGTAATGGTAATACGTTATTTTTCGCCACATAAAAAGTTAAAATTTATGGTGTCTAGTTTATTACCATTTAAAAATTTAAGACTAATTCCAGACTTTTTAAGACTAATGCCAAATTTTTCATGACTCTATTTTTCAACAATTAGTGATGTATTGATACCAAAATGTAGCGATTCTCAATTCTTGATACTAATGCCAATTTTTGTAATTAAACCAAATTTTGGAATTCTACACCAAACCCTGTCTTTATGTCATAAAGTATTAATATGTAATAAGGTGTTTTTCAAGTAAAGAAAAAAATTTAGCAATAAAAAATTCTAACTAGCCAATTTGGATTTTTTGGATGATGAAAATCTTCCACGACCAAGTAGACATCATCATTAACTGCCTCGGACGTCATCGTGGCAGTTCGGGATCGCGGCATCGTTTCCCGCGGCCGTGTAGACATCATCATTGACTCCACGCCCACGGAAATGTCATCAGCGTCGTCTGCGATGATCGCGGCAAAATCATGAAAATTCCTGACTTTCATACCAAAATAAAGACTAAATCCTGACTTTTCAAGACCGATTTGAAATTTAATACTAATTTCCGACTTTCCCCTTTTACCCGACTACTAGACACCCTATAAAATAATAAATTTTGTTTACAAAAAATCAAACTTTGAGGTTCCTATTAATTTGTTTGGATTAATTTTTCTATCTTAACCAAAAAGAATGTGAACCCTCATATCTGGGGGGCCGCCACTGATAAGTAGCAGTTTTGAAAACAAGGCATTTATGAAAATCTTTCATCTTCACTATAATCAGTGGTGGTGTAGTGGAATGGGAACAACATTCCCACATTGCTATTCCAATTTGTGAGTATGTTAGTCAGTTCTTAGACGATGATAAGTATGTCCACACTGGACATTTTATGAATAGCCTATTAAAAGGCTACAATAAATTACATAAAACTTAATAATCAAATTATGTGAAAAAATGTTCTAATAAAGTAGTTAAAATACTTTCAATAAATAAATAGAATGATGTGACTTTTAGCATCAGGTCAGATTTTAAGTATATATTAAAAAATAATTATTGATGCAATTGGTAAATGTGACTTATGCTTAAGTGCCTAAATAAAACTCACCTGAAAAAGAAGGAAGGCATAGCCTTTTGGAGGAAAGTAGGACTTGCTCTCTGCTTTGTGAGGCCAATCTACGACCAAAGGACCAAATCTGCGAAAACTAGCTGTGATTTCATCTGAAAGGAAAATAATGCATCATAATTTGAATCCTAAATTATTTGTTGACTTTAACACTAACATTGCATTCTCCAATAAATAGTTAAGAGGAACTTTTTAACAAAATCCAAATCAGTACAGGCAGTTAGGAAAAAGCTGAAAATAAACCTTCTGCGAATTGTTAAGATGGTTTATTTCAGTTTATTTTCAAAATGTCCCCATTCTGTCTTATGCAGGCTCTTGCTTTTTCCTAACTGCCTGTGCTATGATTTCTGAATTTTCAGAATGTTTATGAGTGGCGAGTGTACCACGAAGTATTTAATTTTGTGTCTTAGAAAGTTGAATTTATTAAACAAACAATTAAAACCATTTTAATACCATATTTTTTCATAAACACATCAAAAGTACAATTGTTTCAAAAAAATAATTTGGAAATCTATTATATTTGGAGAGAGAAGTACCTTTCAAAATTTAATATATAAAACAAAAACCAGAGCACACATCGCTTTAAATTTAATTTAATAGAAAAGCTAATAAAATTGTTTTTAGGGAATTTTGCCCATGATAACGTCAACCCTCTGATTTGAGGGTGATGTGAAGACAGATGAGACTTGTGAGCTTTGAACTAAGAATGAAGAAATTTCCTACTGCACATGGGGCTGAGAGGAGGGGATGCTCCCGCCAAAACTATTAACCAATCAAAACGCTTGGAATGCCCTAGACTCATCCCAGCAAAACTTAACATGATTTTTAAATTTGCTTGTTCTGACAAAGATCTGGTTTTTTCCTGTAGTTTGCTCAACTGTCTTAAGTAACTAATTTATATTAAATTCTGTATGAATTTTTTTAATTAACAAAAAAAAAAAACTAAATATGGTACACGAGTGATGTCCATGATGATTCACAACACTTATGATTTTTTCCCTTTTACTTCTTTGTGTGTGCAAAATTATTTGCAGCACCCGCAATTAAAATGAGGATGTGATTTTTTTTGTTTTTTAACCATGTTTTTTACATTATTCAAATCTAAAAAAAAAGCTAAAGTAAGAAAAAAAGTAAAAAAAGTTTTCTAAGTAAAAAAAATTCAAATCTAAAAAAAAAAATCTAAAAAACATGCAACAAATAAAAAATTGATTTTACCTTTTAGTTTTGAACAGTTTTGATAGCATTTTCTACTTTCTAGCATTACAAAAAATTTTGTAAGCTTGTTTTTTAGAAATTTATAGGTAATATTTCAGTTCCAATCCATTTAAAAAATGTTTCTGATACTTTAGGTTTATCTAAATCTATCTATTCTTACTCAAAATTTACCCAAATTTGGAACCTTTTTGCCAAATGAACTTTTTAATTATCAAGAAAATTTGTCTTTGAGTCAGTGTTTGATTTGGAATTTTTTTATTGTGTACATGAGTCAAATTTGGGTTGGTGTACCGCCCCAAAAAATGTTGAACACTCAGGTCAAGACCTGTATAATGCAATTGTAATGCTGTTATTGTGGTTTCTATACATATGATAAATGAAAGGGGAGATTTACTAAAAATAATACTGTATCTTTTAATTGTAGTTTTTAGCCATTTCCCCTGAGAAATTTTAATTTCCAAAGCTGGGCACTCAGGAAAATAAGTATTTCTAGAATTGGACTGTAATGTACTGTAATAATACTAGGCCTATGTAAATTGGAAAAATTACCTTCATCTATGTCAGGTGGGAGTCCTCCAACAAACACTTTCCTAGAGAACCTCTCTCCAGTCTCAGATCCCTGGCTGTGAGGGGATGAGCGTGAAGGAGAGCTGAGAGGTGGCGGAGGAGCAGCCATCACCTGACCATCTACTAGATGTGAGGTTGGATCTTCCAGGAGTGCTGCTTGATCTTCTAAACCCGGGAAGAAAGGGGATTTACCTAAGAACAAAAAAAAAAATAGTTTGTAAGTGTTTCTTCAGTTTAAGTTAAACAAAATACTTATTAAATAAAACAGCAGTATAAAACGTGAAAAGACTTAAGCTTATTAACACCGGTCGTCGAGGACCGGCCGCGGGATGTTTGCCCAGCCAGCCAGGCCTGAATCTCGGTCACCTGTGCCCGGCCAGGTCTCGCTGAAATGAATCAGTCAGTGTGGCGTAACCTTGTGGAAAGGACCGGAGTTATTGCGTTACATAACCTATACCGTGTTCTTTCGCCCGCCATCCCCAAGAACCGGTGCCGGTCCCCTGAGACTGGTAAATTCCCACTTGCACAATTTATTGCCTTTGAGCACTCATTGACACATTTCTTTAGCGTGTTTTGCTTTTTATAGGTACGACACAAAAAAAATATTTTATTGCTTATTGTTTTAGTTTCATGCAATGGTGGCTAGTTCATAAGGACCCTCAGACGCCGCCCTCCCAACAATACATGAATAAATTACATTTTAATATTATTTAGTTAAATTTAATTAAAATTACTGCAACGAGTACTTTAAACAATTACAACATAAATATATCAAATAAATGGATAATTCAATTCAGTAAAGATTTATTTTTGATTGTCGCTTGCTTAGTAAGGACGGCGGCCAGACCGTCCCAATCTCAATACATGTAGTCTTTTAGCAGAACAACTGAACAGCGCTAAGGGTTGCCATGACATCATTCCAATTCTTTAGTATGGGAGCTTTGGGGCTGAGTCAGAAAGTTGCGCCATTGTATAAAGTCAATGGTTGCGCACACACTCTAAAATCAGGCCAGCCACCACAATCTGGATATTCTGTATGACAAGCTACCGTTAAGATGGGTAGAACTGATGTTGGCGCACCTATTTGTCATAACTCAAACCATCTAATTTCTAAAACTAGAAAACAACTGAGCTAACCTTAAAATGTTATTTTTGTTTGGTGATGTTTAGTGATTAATGAATAGTGATGTAGGAGTACTGTCCGTGCATGTATTCAAGTAAAATACTAACTGTATACTTTTTCCCCACCTAGTTTAGTTAAAGGTAGGCCCTGAATTTCTGGTTGATTAATATTATTGAAGTACAATAGGTTTTTAGGTTAACGGTATAAGATTAAATGCAAATTTGTTTTTGTACGCTGTTTTACTTATTTGGCTTCCCATTCCTTATTACCTTAGATATTTAATGGAATTATCATTATTCAGTTAATGTTATTTTGAGGACAGACCCATTTGCAGACACTGTTACTAAGTTAAATACAATAGCAGCCTTGGAAACAAGTTTAAATAAATATATATGTCGTACGCTAGGCCTGTGTGTGTTTGTATTACAAATTTAAGCCTTAAATATTTTCCAATTCTTTGACAAATGTGAATGATGATAGGCTTTTGCTTGCATATAAAAATATGGAGAGTCCTCCAACCACCTATGAACACCAGCCGCTACTGGTTTTATCGGAGCACATGAAAAGAGCCCGAAATTTTAATCCCCAAATAGGTTCACTAATCTTAAGCATGGAAAGAGCCCGGGTCTCCACAGGTACCCGAGGAGGAGGACGCTGACTATAAATAATTGTGTGTATATATTGTAGTGTTTTAGTAAATAGTGCTGTGTTTGGTTGGGTTAGGATAGGTTAGGTTAGGTTAAGTTAGGTTAGGTTAGGTTAGATTAGGTAAACAGACTATATCTTTTAGTAATGTAAATATCTTTGAATAATATATATTTTATTAATGTATCTTTTAACAGTGTATCTTTTAATATTGTAAATAATTTCATGTATTTCAGCTGTGTTATTTGTTCTTTCTTGTATAAAGAGACCGGGCTCTTTTTGCACTGTCCTGGGTGGGACCTTGGAGGTCCGGGCGCTTTTCAAGCGTCTGCCTGAGTTTTTGGGCTCTTTTCATGTGCGCCCGGTTTTATCTACCTTTTTAACTCTCAAAGTGTTGCGATCGCCGCAATTACGGCGACATTTTTCCAAGTGTCAATTGTCATAATTACGGCAATTTTGCTGGCTTTCGTTCGATATAATCCTGTACTATCAAACGATCTCGATAACAATGCATTCAGCAGATTCTGGGCTTTATGACAACCAATAAAAATGGTCATTTTAAGAACTATATTTTGACCAGTGTTCGTTTTTCTGCTTGTTTGTTTTCGCCTATGGTTGTCATAGCTACATCGTTTCACTGTTTATATCTTTGTTTTTATAAGGTTTAGTAATCATTTTTAACACGTTCGCTACTGACCGCTAGATGCCGGGACGGCGCCAGGAGCTGAACTAACGCTCGCCGCTGCGTAAACATTGCTGCCGATACACTGAATTACAGTAAAAACAACAGTAGTTGTACTGGATGGCAATGTTCTGCAATAAAACTGGCTTTGGACATAGTACTAAGTGATTCTGATAGATAGCAGCACTACCCAGGTTGCAGTCAGTAAAGTAGTGTCGCTATCTAGCAGGAAAGAGGTGGGACAAGCCCTGTTCTAAACGACCCTGGTGGTGATTTTGGGAAACTATATTTTTATTTTTATTGTCAGAAAAGTACATCCCCACTAGCTGCAAAGAAATATAGGACGCTCATGACGAGCTGGCTGATCCATGGTAACGTTAAACATCGATGAACGGCGACGTTCCGGGATGTTCCTAGCTCCTGGTGCCGTGGCCCGTTTGACGTTCCGGAACGTCCGTAGCAGCGAACGTGTTAAACAAACACTATATAGGCCTAACTATATATTGTCTTCTTCCTCCTAATTTACTTTAAAATAAAATGTATGCATCAGTTTTTTTTATTTAGTGACTGTTAGTGTTTTTCCAAATGTCTGGTAAAACAATTATGTAAAACATTAATGTAGGCTAATTAGGTTGCAGTCAGTAAAGTAGTGTCGCTATCTATCAGGAAAGAGGTGGGACAAGCCCTGTTCTAAACGACCCTGGTGGTGATTTTGGGAAACTATATTTTTTATTGTCAGAAAAGTACATCCCCACGAGCTGCAAATAAATATAGGAGGCTCGTGACGAGCTGGCTGATCCATGGTAACGTTAAACATCGATGAACGGCGACGTTCCGGAACGTCCGTAGCAGCGAACGTGTTAAACAAACACTATATAGACCTAACTATATATTGTCTTCTTCCTCCTAATTTACTTTAAAATAAAATGTATGCATCAGGTTTTTTTATTTAGTGACTGTTAGTGTTTTTCCAAATGTCTGGTAAAACAATTATGTAAAACATTAATGTAGGCTAATTAAGGGTTCCATAACAAAAATGAGTATTTTTCAATAAATATCTAATTTTTTACCTCAGTCAGAGGAATATGAAATTGTTGTGAACGGAGAGTAGCATATTTTATAAAATTTTCTGGCCTATATTAAAAGTTAGAGTTGGCTATTTTTAATACTCCAAAAATTACTCTTTAATGAGCCGGAGATTTTTCTTGGGCAAAAACAAGCACAAATAATGCATTACTATTTTACGAAACTATAGCTTAAAACATGCCTAAAAATATTTTATCTCCACACCACAGTAGGCCTATACTTAAAAATAAACAAAATAAGTAGCCTATTAAGATTTAATCAAACTGACATCCAGAATGTTTTTGAAAAAGAGTGTATCCGCGATGTTGCTCGGACAGGGTGAGAGCGCAGACTAATTTTCGGTGTACCCCCACCCCTACAAAACCGGTTAAGAGCCAGTATAACCACCTACCCCCAGGCTTCACCAGGAAACGCACGAGCTCCAACAACAAGGGTAACGGACCAATGAGGTTCAAGTATTGATAGAGAAGAAGTATAATTGTAATGATTCGATCTTAAACTTATCAGCTGTTCAGGCCAATTTAATTGTTTAGTAGTGCGATTAGTGTTTGGTACAATGTTTAATTGCATCTGTCAGTGGCAATGAGAGGTTAAAAACGAAAACATAACCCCTCTTAGAAAGAAAGAGTAGAGATTTTTAGAAATTAAAACACTGTCGTAGGTAAAGTAGTGTACGCAACTCGCGTAAAAAGTGTTAACGCAATCGTTGCGTAAACTACTATTACACAATTATGGGGTAGGTTTATTTTTCCTTTAACTTTTGTCATAGATTATGGAAATAAAGAAGGATTCTATAACCGTTATTTATGAAAACTATGTTATTGATATATTTTGTATGTAAGCAGTAGGACAATTACGATGTACCGTATGTCATACTTTTTTGTATAAATTTGGTGGCTTTTTGTTTAAAATCCTAACTACATTTAACAAGTGTTTGGGGTAGGCGGTATAGTACATCTTGCCGTTGAGAAGCACGGGTACAGCAGCAGGAGCAGCTAGTATAACAATAAAGCAGCCCTTAACACGTTGTATGCGGCCGTTCCCGACCGGATAGGGTGCGTCCATACCTGATCGGGAACACTTTGCAATGCCTTTTGTATAACTACCTTTTTGTTCTATCGTCGGTCGAAGGCGGACTTCCACCTTTGCGTGTAGGGTGTGACTTGCTTTTTGTTGTGGTGAAGGTTAGTAGTAAATTTACCCGTAAAATCCTTGTCTGGCAAGATTAAAAATCAACTTGTTGTCCCGTCTTTCTCCCTCCAATTGGCACTACAATGGAACCGGCTACATTGCAAGCAGTGGTGCTATCTGTGGGTGTTTTAGTGAACTACGTTGACTCTCGTCGTATAGCAGGAAATCGCCGCACGTTATTTGTTATTCGTCAGAGCGAAATTTGAAAGCCAATTACCCGGCAATAGGGTTTGTTGGACCTTGCGGGGGGCTGCGCCGCACTGGGGCTATGCCTGCCATTTGATGGGCCGCAGCCAACGTGTTAACTATCTCTTACATGAACTCATGTCTTTTTCTTCGTGCAACAATACTAAAACAATGTGTTTATTACTTACACATGTATCTTACTACACAGTCTTGGAAACGAGTACATTAAATTGTGCTGCGTTTCACCAACAACTATATCGCAGCGTAACTAAATTGCAG